TAAACCTGATAATTTGTGTACCCCGGTCCTGATAACTTACATATCTCGTCCTCATAACTTGGCGTATGGGTGGGTGTTGATGAAACATCCCCCGATAACTTTGGTGTGAATATCATGGTAACTCATACATCGGAGACCTGATAACTTATGCAGCCCGATCCTGGTAACTTTGGCGAATAGAGGTGATGAAATATACCCCGATAACTATTATGTGAATATCATGATAACTCACACATTGCTGACCTGATAACTTATGTACCTAGGTCTTGGTAAATTTGGCGACCGGGTGGAGGGAGGCACGTTGATGAAATATCCCCGGTTATTTTTTGTGCGAATGGCTTGATAACTCATACATCGCTGGCCTGATATTTTTTGGGAGAAAAAGATGTTGGAAACAAATCTTGATCTCCTGGTAACTATTTTTTTGTCGAAACATACCCCAGTGTGAAGTTACCACTATCCATTGCTAAATTTACCATGCTTCTCATGGTATAGTCATTAACCTTCTCATATTATAGTTATCAGGCTTATCATAGTATAGTTATCATGTTGCTCAAGTCATAGTTATCACGCTGGTCATGCCAAAGTTACCAAGAAAAGAATTTATTATCGCTGATATGACAGAAAAAAAGAAAGGTTCAAATAACCTTGTTCATATGCAATAGACAACAATTGAATGTGGCTTAGTTGGTTATTGGGCTCAAAGTCAAATGAATAGACCTGGTTTCAAGTCCCCTTACTAGCACTTTTATTTTCTTTTTATATTGTGTTTCAAAAAACCAAAAAACCACTAGCGATTTACTATTGGCATATACGGTTTTTGAGAGAAGAAAAAAAATCGGTGGAATCAAGCATGCGGGTCACGAGAGGAAGATGGGTTACGATCGTGCGGATCTGTCGCTAACCACCAGTCGACTGGTCGTTAGCATTCCTCTATAGTATAAGCTGGTATGTGTCTGCGGCAACTCAATTTTTTTGTTTTATGAAAAGGGGGGAAACCTACAGGCTACAGTCTTTACATCGGTTGAATCCACCAGGCATCATCAGCTAATGAAGAATACATGCATTTCAAGCCATGAGACCGGTCGCCAGCAGGACGACAAGGCCAAATCGGCAAATCCTATTGTGGCCCTGGCAGAGGTGGCGGCGGAGGAGGGCGGCGACATGACCGGGGCGGGCGACGACGAGGGGGAACCTGGCAAGACGTCGATCTTGAGCTTCATGCCGCCGGTGCCGGTGGTGGTGCAGTGGCCAGGAAAACCACAGATGAAGTAGCGGGTGCCGACGGCGGGAAGGGCGACGTAGGTGAAAAAGCCGGAGCCCAAGGTGGTGATGGGGCTGGTGGCATTGCAGGAGTCGTAGTCGGCCTTGCTGACCTCGAGCACGTTGTGCGCCCCTGGCTGGTGCCTGAAGATGAGCTCGTCGCCCGGGTGGAACTCCCTGGAGGACGCCCAGCTGCCGTAGTCGGTGGTGAGGTCCCACGCGCCGCCCGGCTCGCCGACGCGGTGGGTCACCGCCGACGCGGTGCCCAGGGCGGCGGCCGAGATCACGGCAAGGAGAGCGATGGTTTTCATGGCGGCCATGGATTGCTGTCAGAGATGGCGGCTGGAATGCAATGCAAGTTGCAAGGCGACGCAAGGAGAGAAGGTGGATGATGCTTCACGGGGGTTGGGTTGGCTCGCTGACGGCTCCCTCCCTTTATACACAGGCAAAGCAAGCGCCCAGCCTGGGTTGGGTTGGGTGGCACGCGCAAGCGTGGTAGGTTGACTGCTGGAAAGATAAATTGGAACTCGCGGTTGAACGATCATGTGCGTTTGGACTTTGAACAAGTCAATGCTTACCTTGTGGCCTGCTGAGTGCTGACCATTTCACGCCTCGCTTTCCATCAACTTTCCCGTCGACGTACGCGGTCTATGCTATGCATGTGCCTGGCCCACTACAAAATGTATGGCATGCAAGTATGTACGCACGTGCTCCTATCGTCGAGCTAGATTTTTCCTATTGACAGAGGATGATAATGTTACTCCATCCGTTCGCAAATATAAGTCTTTTTTAGAGATTCCAACAAGTGACTACATACGAAGCAAAATGAGTGAATCTACACTCTAAACTATGTCTACGTACATCCGTATGTTGTAGACCATTTGAAATGTCTAAAGAGACTTATATTTAGAAACGGAGTGAGTAGTATAAAAAAGATATCAATTACATCCGACCAACAACATTTAATCAAGAGTGCGCTCGATCAAATTATTCAAAAATAACAATCATGTGATCTGCGACAAGCAACAGCCGGTGGATGAGCTCGGGACGACTTCGACCAGCATCGATGTTGGGAGAAGAGTGTTACAGTGCGGCAAATCAGCACTGGGCAGTGGGGGCAAATAGAGGGAGTGCGGCGGGATGTCATGTGCAACGGCGCCGTTGGTGGGGGCAACCGATTTGAAGACCCCTGAAGGAAAAAGTAAACAATTTGAAGACGTTTAGGAACGAGGGATAATCCTCTATGATGAGTAAAAGCAACAAAAAGAATTGCTCAGATACCCGTGAGTATGCTTATTTGGACCGTGTTGTATATGTTCTGGCTAAACCTATTGAGGAAAAGGCAAAATTATAGGTTCCTAATCTTGCTTGACCGGTGTTTTCTCTAGGAGGTGCGATTTCTCTTCTAGTTAGTAGTCTCGGGTGTTTTATAGCAGGGTGTGGCTACTTCTATTCCTTTTTCCTTGATATGCTTTGTAAGAGTATCTCTAGCAGACCCCCTAAACTTAATCCTTCACACCTTCTCCCTATCACAAGGAGTCAATTTTTCGAGGGATTAACTTGTCTTCAGCTAGGAGATCCCTTAAACTTAAAAAATTTGTACATAAACTCATTTCAAGCACTAATTTAAAGTACTTAATTGCACAATTGAACAACGCTTACACATTAGTACCATATAGGTAACATAATTAAACAGTTCATGCCTACTACATTTGCATCATACGTAGCATAGTTTTGAGCTAGTCCAAACATTGATATTAAACATATGCAACAACATTAGTTGTCGGTGAAATTCTGGCAAACCCCTTGATAGAGCGCTGCGACTAGCAGGAACAAACATAAGGGTAGTAGGAGATCGGTTTACATAGGTTTAGGCCCTCAAGGTGGAGGTAAAATCCTACTTCTGCTCTTGTTATATTGCAATAATGTGGTGTACATGGCACCGATGAATCGAGGGATAGATTGTAGGATGTCTATTGACTCCCCCTCCCCTGGCTTATAAAGGGTGCTAGTGGTCTAGAGTTTACATGAGTCCTAACCGACTAGGTGGTGCGTATGGTCCTCCTCCGACACAGTCTCTTCATCTTGATCGCCAAGTCTTCTGGATCCTTCCTTCTTGAGAGCTCATGGGACACATTGATAATCTGCTATGTAATGCCAAAGAGGGCCTCTTGCCGGTGATGACTTGCAAGTGCACATGGATGTTGCAATTCATGACAAGTAAGTTTTGCCAAACTCACAGGGAGCGACGCGCAGTTAACTACTAATCTGGCAACTACGTTGTCACAGATCAACAATGTTCACACCTAGACTGTAGTCTGGAAATAACCTATTCTATTGGTCATTAAGGAAACTGTAATGAAAAGGGGTTTAACAGAACTAAAAAAGAATTAAATAGATGAAGCAGTGCTTGAGTGATAAATCATTCTCGGGGGGTTCGAATTCATCACTACTAGTACTTAGGGTACACGGTCCTACAAGTAGACAACCAAGTGTGGGACGTAATGCATGTTATATGTTTTTATAAGTGAGTGGAGGCAAGTACAGATACGTGCATACATGCAGCAACCACACATCACATACACCACAATAGTGTGTCTCCACATTCTGGTTTCTGTTGGGGAACGTAGTAATTTCAAAAAAAATCCTATGCACACGCAAGATCATGGTGATGCATAGCAACGAGAGGGGAGAGTGTGTCCACGTACCCTCGTAGACCGAAAGCGAAAGTGTTAGCACAACGCGGTTGATGTAGTCGTACGTCTTCACGGCCCGACCGATCAAGCACGGAAACTACGGCACCTCCGAGTTCTTGCACACGTTCAGCTCGATGACGTCCATCGTACTCCGATCCAGCAGAGTGTCGAGGGAGAGTTCCGTCAGCACGACGGCGTGGTGACGATGATGATGTTCTATCGTCGCAGGGCTTCGCCTAAGCACCGCTACGATATTATCAAGGAGGAATATGGTGGAGGGGGGCACCGCACATGGCTAAGAGATCAATGATCAATTGTTCTGTCTATGGGGTGCCCCCTCCCCCGTATATAAAGGAGTGAAGGAGGGGGCCGGCCAAGGGGGTGGCGCGCCCTAGGGGGGGAGTCCAACTCCCACCGGGAGTAGGACTCCCCCCTTTCCTATTTAGGAGAGG